CTTTTTATTCTGTTGCTTTGCTTATAAGTAATTCATTAAGTACTGGTGTTGTTCACTTCATATGCTGTTTGCACTCTATTMTGGCTGAGTTTTAATCAATTAAGCTTTGGTTTTATACTGTGAATTGAAAGTTTTGCAGGGGTCTTGTTACCCTCTTATTATTAGACATAAAGACTTCAGCGAGAAAGTGGATCACTTTCTGGAAATCCCAGTGCCTTCTTCAGTTAAATAACAGTGTTATCATATAAGTATACTAATAGAATAAAAGTCATTTTCATTCAGCCTTATTTGCGAGAGCAAAAGACAATAGATTCAGACAACTTGATACCAACTACATAATCTTTCATGGCTCAATGAAAACAGCTCTCACTATATCTATGCCTAGCTTCAGTATTGGCCTCTCTGGAATTCAAAAAGGACCTGGGCTTATGGTACAATTAACCCAACTAAAATTAGCACTTTTAACCTACTGGACATAAATGATGAACAACTGAGGAGTGACAACCTAATATTAACTTTACTCAAGAATGGATGGGGTTTGACARCAAATAATCCCAATAAAATCTTCAAAAGTCAGYTCTCCATTGGAAAATAACACTATTACGTAACATCTTTCCTGTAGTTGTCTAACATTAACTCTTAAGAATTCACTCCTAAAGCATAAATATTTARGCTAATAGTAAGAACATAGAAATTTATGTCAACTTTTGTTCTTATGTGATTACTGCATTTACTTTTCATAAGGTTAAAAGAGCAAACCTACAGTGTCCCTTTTTCTGTTTTACACTCTATACTTAATGCCTTTGTTTGGCATATTCCATGGACAGAGAGTTATCTGTCTTATACAGTGCCATGAACTTTAATTATTTCAAAAAGAAAGGACRGTCGTTATCCATATTTTTCCTGATGAACCAGCAGAATTCATACTTAATGTAAAAAAAAAATGTACCGATACATATTATTTATTGTCTACAGGTTTGACAAGGTACATTTTATCCCCTTGCTCATTTGTAAATATTGGAGCCTTTTTGTAGTGTTCAATTAGATTGTCTAAAGATGTAAATGTGCGAGTTCCAATCTTGAAGCCGTTGTCAAGAGTTTTAATCCTGAAGTGCTTAATGCGATCAGGAGCTTTCATTGACACTGAATAGTCTCCACTCTGAAACATGAAATAAAATTTGCATAAGAAAAGGGTTGTCCTTGCAATTAATTCTATGAATCAAAGAAAACGGAATATATATACTTGATTGAACTGATGTCCTGATTCAAATGACTGAAGCTAAAACTGAAGGGGAAAAGGGAATTACAGTAATTAAATTAATTGATATAAAAAACCTTTTAGTGTAARAGCAAACATCTAATTTGAATAAGCCCTTTATTTTAATTTCTCAACAGTTCGAATCAAAGGTGTTTGTTAGAGCTTGCCCAACTAACATCAAATCATTTTGACGGCTATAAAAAACAATCAACGTGGAATTAGCAACCTTTCTACACGTKTACATACCACTGTTTCACTCTCCCGAATAAGAAAATCTCCATCATCCCCATGCACGCCAAGAAGACGCTCTCCATTTTCCCTTGAAATAGTTCCCCAAAACCATTTCTCATTTGCAAATGGCAAAGCACTATGTGATGGCTTGATAACTCGTTGAAAATCTTGGCTGTCTGGAGATTTGGGTAATCTTTTGCTTGAATGCATTGGTCGGCTCACCGAGTTATCAATATGCCCTGTTGCTCCTCCATCTGATAAGACTTTTACATAGTTTTTAGGGACCAGACCAATATTGCCACTGCTATTTTTAGCCTCCCACCAATCAGGGTCTCCATCTGGTTGCCGCAAAATGTCTAATATCTCATCTTTCTGAAAATTCAATTCCTCGTCAYTGGAKGAGCTAAATGGATACAGTGTTACAACCTTGAAATTTGGTGTTTCAGGCTCCTCTGCATAGTTTGAAGGAAACCAACCTTGCTTGTAACCACAACGACCCTTCCACCACCCATCATGCTCCTTCTCAAGGACGTATATAAGGTCCCCCTTTTTAAGCTCTAGTTCATCATTGTTCCTGGGCTCATATTTAAACTTTGCTACAACTGTGCATATTGCTTTGTGTGTGGGTACCAGCACTGATTCTGGTGTGCAGTATTGGTTAGGTTCATTTCCAAATCCATTGCTGTCTGAATGTCCCTTCTTATTGCCTCCTTTTCCGCCACCTAATTTTTTCTTGAGTTTAGAGCGTATTGAATCCTTGCGATCCACATAGTTTGAAGGGACATAACCTGACTGGCTATGCTCATTCCTCACCTTCCACCAAGTTTGAGAGTCATCAATAATAATAAGCTTTTCATTCTTTTTGATTGAGAGCTCTTGATTTCCTTGAGCATTGTAATCATAGAGTGCTACAGCTATTGGTTCTTCACTCATCTGAAAATAGATAACATGAAAACCTTAACAAAAATGGTAAATTATCAATGCAATTCCTTACTAAAGTGAAGAGCAACACAGGTAAAATAGGTTTTTAGCTCTAGTTTTAGGGTGAGTAAAAAATCAATTTCAACTCCCAAGGGATAAAAATACTATTGTTTTGCCTCAAAGATGAAACAGCTCTTGTATAACATGTAAGGGGTCTTTATGAATCCAATTGCATGTTGATATTACAGATTTTTTTCATTAATTTACCAATAATAACACTTTGCATTTTAAATCGAAAATATAAGTTTGGTATAAAATGTAAAGCAGAAAATGATAATTTTAACAATTGGGTATTTAGAAATATAGTGAATATCAAGTAAAAACATGGTTGAGACTGTTACAAGTCGCATACAAGCTATAAAGCTATGTGCTGTAAACTTCTTTGACTTTCTATTCAATTTTTCAGTGATAAAAGACTTCCACTGTGATTTAGCACTTAGCAAATTAAACTTTCTCTGTGTGATACCAAATACAGTGAAGCACGTCTGTTTTATGAACTATTTTGGATGTTTTCTTACTAAAAACAAACATAATACAATAGTGGAATTGTCAGTAAGAAATGTCACTTATTTGGCGCACAGATATGTGACAGACACGTGTTGTGACAAACTTGAGTACTTGACGTATTTATGGACAAAAATTTGATTTGGTAATTTATCAAGCGAAAGGTTTTGGCATTTTCATGCTATCACGTAACAATAATAAAGCAAGGAATTCATCTTACAGAATAATAATTAAATCATAAATGCGAGGAATTCCACAGACATGAACGACAGCATTCTACGAATTTTTTCCCTGATTGATGACGTGAGATATAAGTAGTTTCACTATATTCAACCTTCAACCTTGAATATGCTTTCCTATAGAAACATTTTAAACAACTAATAATGACCGGGAATAACAAGCCGATTAAATAGTAATGTTACAAAATACATAAAGAAAGCTTAGGGAATTCCGCTTGATTGCGTAAGTCATTGCTGGATACTTTTCAACATGATTAGCAATTATGAAATTTGCACGTAATTTGAAAAGGAATATTTCAATCTTGCCAATTACTAAGACGTAAAGAACTTCATGCCGCCATAAGTTATGTTTTAAATCAATGTACGCAATTCCAATAGAATATTAGCGTACGAAGTACAGAATTACACCAGACACGGATCATGGCTAGAAGTTTCGATCGACATGTGTTTACAGCGAAGTCAAGCTCACAACGAATGCCAACAGAACATTGTGACTTACCGAGAAGCATTGTTTACGTTTAATAAAATTCTCAAAATCACAACAAGGTGGAACACTTGYATCAAAATCATGCTTCATGCCTATGGAATCCAGCATTTGTCAAAAACGTTTCCGAAATTAAAGAGAATCAAAGCAGTTCTGAATATTTCAGTAAAAATAAAATTAAACACCACATAAACGTGTTAAATCCTCCACATCGTTTAATCAATATCCCGCCAACAATCATTCAATGTTAAACTTCACATTCCTCAACTCGTGCTCACCTTTCGACCAAGTTCCAATTTTTCTAAGGTCCAAATATCCTCACATTTGATCCAATTTGTAAATATATCGACTTCATTAGTGATGACCGACCTTTAGGAGTTCATCTAGTATTAAATTTGAGCTAAAGGAAGGACTACGAAGCCGATTTCGAACCGATTTCAACGTTCTTCCTTCACTACTCCCGTACAGCGAAGCGGTTTCCTGTCCAAATTATACACCCATATCACGTGACACTGGAACTAGCAAAACGGATGCAAGTGTAGAGGAAGCCCAAGGCTATCAGTATTAGGTGGTTCGAAAAAAGTCAACATTAGAGATCATTAGAAACAATCTTGCGAAAGGTGAAGTCGTTTCCTATGCTACGAAGAAAAACAATTTTTTTCGCAGAAGGGCAGGAAAACGTCCTCTACTTGTAGGTTTCAGATACAAAGAAACCAAAACGATTCTATTATAAATTTAACACCGTAAAAAAAGTATGTGAAATAACTTACTGACGTTTCGGACGTTAAATTAATCCTTTGTCGGAGTAAAAGTTATTTCAGTAAGTTATTTCACATACTTTTTTTACGGTGTTAAATTTATCTTTTTACATAACTGTTTCTTTAGAAACACCGACGCAGCTCACACTAGTTTACCGCTAGTTCCCACCAAAACGATTCTATAACTATCCTGCTCTAGCTATGATTCCCAGTGTAGGCTTAAATGCTAAATAAATATTGGTAACTAAATTTAATAATAGTCAAAAGTAGACTGCGACGTTCTACTTAAACACAGGCAGCCCAAGACCCGTAATCTTTCAGAAGCTTTCCATGTCACGGCGATTCATCGGGATAGAATAGATCTTTTCGCGTTTAATACAATTTTTGCGGCGGGCATCCAGCTCCAGTAGCGTGAAACTGTCGACATGAGAAAAATGGGATGGGACATACATTCATAGGTTTATATGTCTGAAATGGGACACTGATTTAGACATCATTAGATGCGAAATCATATTCGTATCTAGTATGGCAGTACCTGGTCAGTCTGTGTCTGTGGTTTAGTATGGGTCGAAACTGAAAGTCTACATGTTAGCTTGGAAAGTGCTTCAAGGAGAAAAAAATTAGATCATTTATGTCGTTGACATGCCATATCTCAGTTGGGATCTTGTTTCTTAATATATGTAAAATCAATTAATTTAATTATTTCCCAAGTGCACCTCACTTTATACAGTGACTGGCGGGAAGGCTAACAGAAAGTAATGAAGGGCAATTATCAAAAAACGCTCTCATTGTTAATTATGGAATTGATTGACTAGTTATAATCCTAATAACAATAGCTATAAAATGCTTGTCTATAACGTGATAGTGTGCTCTTTCACTTCAAACAATTTGAATGACAATCAACGCAAATTAACTGTGTTGTTTAGAAAACTTGTAAACCAAAGCTTTCATTACCAAACATAAAGCGTTGTTTAATTTTTCAGAGATTGTACACACGTCTTTACAACTTAGGTGTGATAAAATGAGAGGCATTTTATCGCTATTATATCAGGTATAAATTTTCTCGTGAGAAATAAATAACGGCCCGTGCTTGACCACAAGCATGATCAGAGCTGTGACGTAAAAAACACTTTCACTTGAGCGAGCAAATTGGAGTGACTCGTTATTTCGGTCTGCGACCAAAACGTACAGATCAACCATGGCGGAAAGAGAGCAAAGTAGCCGAACAACTTTATCTTTCTCTATCGACAACATCCTAAGAGATGATTTTCCGCATTCTTTAAGAGCAAACAGGCCATTTTCTTTTGCTCTCGCAAGTCAAACTTCTCAGGTTCATCGAGAATCTCTATCGTGTCAAGAGTGTTCAAGTTCTGCGCGCTACATCAGACCTGTTTATTTCTATACTGCGCCAAACATTGCTGGCAGGACCGAAGTTGGTACCCGTGTGGTCCGAAGTCATTTAAACATTCAACCTCAGTGTACAAACTCGAAGAAAAGTGAACAAGAAAAATCTTTGACTAACTCTACTCAGACTACAGGTACGCACTTAAATTAACACAAAGTGGTCCGTTTAAGCAGGTCAATATGCATAGACAAATTGCGTTATTTACAGATTCATTGAAAGTCACTTCACGAACGCAATATCACGCAAATCAAATAGCACTATTGATATCTAAATTTTAATCGTTTTTCAAAATAAACCTCACATTACATAGTTTTGTTTCGAGATGAATACATCGACGCTATAAACATCACAATCACATTGCTTCTTAAATTGATAAGTGGTAGATATTATCAATTAATCATCTATCGTTATTACAAGAAATCACGCCTTGAACGTAGCAAGAAAATTGGATATGAAAAAAATCTTAACAACAACAGAAATGCTCTATGTACCACACCTAAACATACTGCATAAAGATGGACTCGAAAGTCACTTTTTGTCGTCTTTTCCTAGAAATCTCAACAAAATGAAAGCAACTAATTGGATYTGACCGATTTTTAAATGAAACTCTCACATTATTCAAAGCGTTTTTGCACTTTCACCTTTTGGGTATGGTCCTGTGTGTTTAAATTAGCGCTAACTGCAATAAAAACCGCAAGACATTTTCGCATTAAAGTACGTGGCAAAAATTTTCTTTCATTGGAATTATTACTTTATACTGATTTTCACCATCTTATACTATAATTTTTGATGTGTCCTCAATCAGCGAAAAGTTGCGAAAACATTTCGAGAAAACTGGTGGCGAGGGGCCAAAAGTGGTTGTTGGCAGGAAGCGCGCGTCAAAGCCAGCTTGAACTGAACTTCGTGCGTGTATCTAAAAAACAGTCTTTTATACTTTATTGACACCTCTACTTCTAGTTAAACAAAGAGATATATACAAACAAAAGTACTTAATATATATATTTTGAGTCGACCTAAAAAAGGTTATATATACAACTTGGGAAATACTTCGATAACGTTGAACGTTTACCGTCCACTTTCGTCAGTTCAGTTCACAATTCCGCAAATGTTTTTTGGAAACCGAAACACTTGCTCGTGTCAGACTTGCGTTCGTGATATGATACTCCGTTGGGTTGGGGGAAAACATGTCACTTTAATGGCCCAACAACCTTGGTTAACTACCATTTTAGTTTCAAAAAAAGTGTCGTCTTATCAATTTTTCTATATCACAGTAGAGGCAGAACGTAGCAAGACCACCGAAAGTCCCTGCAAGCATGACACAAACCTGAAAACGAAAMGCAACCCCAAAGAACAGCCAAAGGACAAGAAAAAGCGTTTCAGAAGCCATTTCTCCCAACTCCAGCTTCAGTACTTGGAAGGTATCTTCTCACGACAGCACTACCTTAGCAGAGACGAGAGAACACTCTTGGCATCTGCTTTGGACATGACCGAGCTACAAGTGAGAAACTGGTTTCAAAACAAGCGATACCAGAAGAGACACAGAGAGATTCAAGCGCTTGAAAAAGTTGGCAAACAGGTTCCCGTGAAAATCATTGTTAGTGGTCGAGGTCCGGTCATTCCGGCATTTAGAATAGGACCTCAAGAAAATCCATATTAACTTCAAAAGTGAAAAGCAAAAAAAAAAAATAATAATAATATAGATGTATGACATATAGAGATATTTTTATTTATTGATGTTTTGTTCAGTTGATAGAACTGGTTTGTTTCTGTTTTTGTCGGTATGTATTAAATATCGGCAGTCGAGTTATCCATGACTTTTTGAATGAGCGCGATGTTGAGAAAAGTCTAGTCAAGCATCAAAAACAACAAAACCGAAAACAAAAACAAAACAAAAACAATTCACTAAAAAACTTGCGATACTGCGCGAAGTGCAAGATTGGTGAAAATTACTTCATTGCTTTTCCTCTTTCTTCTGCTGGACTTATCATAATATTTAGCTGATACATGTATATATTCCGCAAAGACCTTATATAAAAGCAACTATACTATTTGGTGTTCAGTGTGAGTAACCTTTGACCTCGGGGAACTATATGTTTTATATGGGGATGACTGAAGGGATATCCCGGAGATCACCCACGCTATCCTGTTGACCCCGAACACTAGACGGAGAGCACAAACATCTTTTCTCTGAAGACTACATTTATTAAGGGTGCTGGCTGTAGATTTGCACCTGTTTTTTTAAGTTTCTTAACAATAACTCCATTTATGGCTTCTTAGCACCAAGCTGTGCTAGTTGCAGTGAAGATACCCCTCTTTCCGATGTCCACTGTAGCGAGTACTTCACMTCAAAACTGACMCGACCCCCTATTACCGGGGAATATAGAGGGCAACATTTCGAAATGCATGTGTAGGTCACGCGAGAATTACCCCGCCCCTAATAGGTTCTTCTGGGGTCATTTATTCCCCCGCCTCCTCGTGATGCTGTTAAAACTCCCGCCCAACCGGGTAAAAATTCCCATTTATGCACACGACTATRCATCATGTGTTGATTACTAGGCCTTCTCCCCCAAGCGAGGGCGTTGGGGCGAGTCGGTGTGCCGCATGTTTCACTGATTGAGTGATGCATAAAGACGGAAAGTGTCGCTCCTATCATGCAGTACGAGGTCTAAAGGAGTTCTTATTCCAAGGGCACGGCAATAAGCCGATTGAACGTGGAGGAAACGGCCTTTTCTTTTACAATATGATAGTCCCATGCACTTAAGAAATTCGTGAGACAAAGGGAATTTTTCGTGTTTTGTACGATAGTCAGTCAAGATATAACCCGTTTCTTTTGTCTTCTCTATAGTATACAAAATCGGCTGTTATCATAATTGCTTCCCTACGGTACTGAATTTAACGTTTGTCAGTGCTTCACTTAAGTTCTTATTCTGGCTTTCTATGAACAGCTTTTCCATAAATCAGAAGCCATACACATACACGTTCAGTTTTTACCTCGGACCGCTAACCATCCAATTCACTCCTGGCAATCCGACACCATGACATCATGATCATGTGTCACATAGGTGTGATTGACGCGTGGGTCACGCGTGGGTTAAGAGTGGCAAATCTAAAAAAAATATCTTTTAATATTTTTTATGAGCATCTGTATCTGCATCGACGCTGTAACGATAAATGACAGAGCAGTTATTTCAAGATTATAGCTAGGCATGACATCACAATTCGTAGGATAGTGACGTCATATGGTGTGATTTCACGGTACATCGGTCATCTGWACAAACAATGAATAAAACCGCTATTTTAAATTTACGTTATTTTACAGCGAAAGTGCTGCATAGTGAAAATCTACGCTAGCGAACTAATCTTTGTAAAGCACCATGATGCCAAAAATATAAATTAGATGCGAAAAATGAGATAAATAATTTGATTTTTTTACTCAGATTGTGCAATCAAGCCGTATCAGTTGTACATGATTGTGTGCATGAGACTCGAAAGATTGTCACATTATCACACTATTGTGCTATTCTCTAGTTGCAGTAAACCCTTATAATTTGTAAATTTGGCTAAAGTACGTAGAGGTGACGTCTTTTGATGAGCTTCTGTCAATATTCTTTGATGTTGTTAAACTCATGATGAGCGAGTCGCAGATTCGGGGAATCCCCGAGCTTTGAAATAGTAGCTGACRTCATCAGATTATTATAAATTTTTCCTAATTTTATTCTTGTAATTTCTTTCTATTTTTCATGTTGTTTCTTTTTATAAGATGTATAATGAAAAATATGGAAAATATAAATATAAACACACACAAAAATTATAATTATGATAAAACAACTAAAGACTGGGACACTCAAAACTGATTCAATAAAATAGCACTATTAGAATTATTATTCAAAGCTCTCTTGCACATAAATGTCTGAGATTACCAAATCTAGACATCGTGCTATGATTAATGAATTATTTACCAGTTTCAGAGTCCTTTAATTAGTGTCCAAAGTAAAAAGTACTAAGGTCGTTCACGATCGAATTCCAGTAAATCAATTCATCGCTATCATGTCTTAATAAACTCAACGTAATGCAATTCAAATTAATCGCTATAGTAAAATGTATTCTTATTTTTTTGGAGAACAAATAAACTGATGAATCATTTCAAAAGCTCGTACTCTTAGTACTTTAGTATTAATATTGATGACGCATGTCAATTTAGCTATAAATGCTGTTTGTACACTGCCCCCGTATCATCTCAATTGCACAAGGTCATCTGAGCCCGAACATGACGGCTGGTCATGAGAGCTCTGCTAACTTGCCGTTCTCTATCGATAATATTTTAAGAGAAGACTTTGGTCCACAGAGAACACAAGTAACGACAATTCCAAGATATTATTATACTGGATATTATGCTGGGACTACTTGGCCTTATTATTATAGATTCTTTCGCCCTCTAGCTTTTACTCGTTGGCCTTGGCTTGTCAGTCCATTTAGGCCCATTGCGGGGGCTGCAAGGCATGTCATTGCTTCAAATCAAGAACGTTTGGAAAAAATAGACGAAAACTTGGAGAGAAAAGTAGAAACTGATACATGCAGGCCTGATTTGGACCATAGTGATTCTGACTTAGAAGAAATAAGCTCAGCAAACTCTAGCACAAAAGGTGAGGTTTTAGACCTGACTCAGCGAATTAATTCCTACAATCGTGATGATCTCAGGTATTCTTGATTGTGATAAATAACTTGCCTTCTTGTGATGATATATAATTCTATCGAATATACTCTCTCTCTCGTATTTTGAATAAGTTACTCATAATTCAAAAAGATTGAAATTTTTAGAAMAAAAAAGTCAAGTTAACAAACTCGCATCGTTTCTTGGGCCAATTGTGCATCGATTTCTTTAATTTTCAGTTAGAGTTTGGTGAATATTTATTATACAGCATTTGCTGCAGATCACACGTGAAATCCGGTATGTCCTTAAT